AAAAGTGCGTCAAATGCTGCCAGTTGGCCATTAAAAACAGAATTATCTCGCGCTGCCTGGCCTGGCGCTGTATCCCAGCCGGATGATAGTCGCCCGCGCGGCACTCAGCGATCGGCCATTTACGAGTTTATCACAACTTCAGCATAAATGTTGGCATATATGCAGATACCCACAAATATATATAAACATATGCAGACACTTAAGATTCGATATTGGCAATTTGCACTTAGCCCGGAAGTGAATATAAATTTAGTTTGCACCTTCGCCCACAACTGATTTCGCATATTTATGTACTTAATATTGTAGCTTTTTTTTCTCCTTTCCATTTTGCTTTTTATTGCATTTTAATTGTGATGTTTCTGAATACCCTTGCGGAGTGTATATTCATTTTGTCACGAGACGTGTTACGCATTCAGACAATGATTCCAATTGAGATATAATTTTGAGACAGTTAGATATAGTTTTGAGACAGTTAGACAACGATTCCAATTGGTATATAGTTTTGAGACAGTTAGACAACGATTCCAATTGGTATATAGTTTTGAGACAGTTAGACAACGATTCCAATTGGTATATAGTTTTGAGACAGTTAGACAACGATTCCAATTGGTATATAGTTTTGAGACAGTTAGACAACGATTCCAATTGGGATGTTGTTTTGAGGCAGTTAGGCAACGATTCCAATTGGGATATTGTGTTAAGACAGCCATACAGTGTTTCCAATTGGGATATATAAATATAGAGCCAGAAATTGTTTCCAATTGGGATATAGAAATATAGAGCCAGAAATTGATTCCAATTGGGATATAGTTTTAAGACAGTCAGACAATTATTCCAATTGGTATATACTTAATATTATATCTTCATTACATTTATTTTTATTTGCATTTTAATTGTCTTGTTTTCTGAATACCCTAGCGGAGTGTATTTTAATTTTGTCACCAAATGTGATACGTGATCAGACATTGATTCCAATTGGGATATCAGTCAGACAATGATTCCAACTGGCAAATACGTAATATTGTATCTATTTTTTTCTGCATTCCACTTTATTTTTTATTGCATTTTAATTTTGTTTTCCAATACCCTAGCGGAGTGTATATTAATTTTGTCACGAAATGTGTTACGCAGTCAGACATTGATTCCAATTGGTATATATTTTTGATCAGTATCAATATCCAAGTCTATATAGCTATTTGAACAAGTCCTCCACCAGTCTTAAGGCTAGAAAGTGAGCCGATTCGGACTACTATATCATCAGCATAAGAGTTTGGCTGTCTAAAACCTAGTTTTTTATACGAGCAGATTTTTTTTTATGCCATAATATTTTAATAACAGCCTACTTTATCAGATGGGATCAATTGAATGTACTTTTAATTAATGCTCAAAAACTCATCTGTATCTGTTTTATCTCTGCAAGGGTATATAAAGATAAGTTATTTCACTATTTTGGGGCGCTGTGATAAATTGAACGTAATTTGCATTGAATTTATTTAACGCACATATAAATATGTTTGTTTATGTAGTCCACTGACATCTAGTATAAATCAAACAATTAACTCAACGCATAAACAAAGAACATTTAGCAGAGATCACCTTGCATATATATATTAATATAGTGCGATATGCCTAGGCTCTGGCACTTGGCGTTAACCTGGCTGGTGAGTCAACTTAGACATCTATCGAGAGTGTTCTATTCCATTCTATTCTATTTTATTCTTCTTCCCTCCAACCCCCCCTTGCCGTTTGGTGATGTTTTTTGTAAACAAAGTAATGTTTTCTGGCATGCTTTGATTTGTTTCAATTGAAATCAATTATACCATCTACAGCTCTCTACATATATGTATATAGTATATGCCTTGTATAATTGCAGGCCGTTCTTGGCAATGGCTCCATAAAGGGCCTGTATGCAAATAGCGGCTCCGTCAGCTGTGGAGGCCTACTGTGCCGTCCGGTAACTGGAATATTCACTCGCGATCCATTGCCAGAGGATGCATATGTCCATGTGGCCACAATACCCGCCGGAGCATCCAATATTTCCATAACCGAACTCAAGAACAGTGCAAATTTACTTGGTAAGCTTAAGAATTTAACTCTTAATATTTAATCTTGTTATCCATTTGAATGCAATTTTATTGGGCTCTATTAATCTGAAGACCTCCGAACTTCTCAAAAAACATATATTTTCAAGACCAAACTTCAAAGACCTGAGATATAGTATAATAAATTAATTATCTCGGGTAAAGTAAGTCCGATTTTCGAATAATATACTTTTTCGGAATCAAACTCTTCACGACTGTCTATTAGATTTACAAAATTTTCATTCGGAAAAATTTTATTCGGCTCTATTAATCTGGATACCTTTTCCGAACTTACCATAGAGCAAACTTTAAATACCTTAGATATAGTAAATTTGTCTTATTTTAAAATAATAACTTAAATTTCTCGGGTAAAGTAAGTTCGATATTTGAACAATATACTTTTTTGGACTTAAACTCTTCACGACTGTCTATTAGCTTTACAAAATGTTCATTCCAAAAGGAAGTCGATAGGAAACATAAAAGTCCTTGAGTCCAAAATGATATAACTTTCCAAGATACGAATCAGTTTATATATGTTTTTAAAGTGTTGCCCAAAAGTTCTCTTATGGAACGAAGTGTAGACTAATAAATTTAAATTTCATCATGATAAGCCAATTTAAATGGTAGGGTATTCATACTTCGTAGTGAAAGAATTCCTTCTATTGATTAAGCTACAATTTAGCAGATAACTGATGGCATGCCCACTAACGTCTTGTTTACATATTTTTATTACAAATCAATTATTGTTTATGGTATTTGCTTATAGTTTTGCGTACAAGCGAACAGAAGAGCATTTTCAATGGCGAGAACGAGGTGTCGGAGAGCGGATCGTATGAGGCAGCGGGCACGACCTTCGACTATCACCGCATCGATGGAGTACAGCAGGGCGAGGGCGTTACCGAGTGGATCACAAGCACGGGCCCCATTAAGGATCCGGTGGAACTCTTGGTATGTCCACTAGTAATCAAAATAATCCAACATAACACCTACTCACACGCGTACTTTCTGCCAACCAGGTGTACAGCAACATTTTGAATCCTGGCATTAAATACGAGTACCTGCTGCCCATTGTGTCCGACTCGGAGGAAAATGAGCTCTCACTGGAGAGTAGCGATGGTTTCCTAAAGTCTGGCGCTGTCAGCGAAGATGGCAGCTCAGTGAGCAGCATGCGCTCGGGTCGCAGGCGTAAATTCAATTGGAAGGTGGTCGGATTCAGTGCCTGCACCAAGTCCTGCGGCGGCGGCACCCAATCGCCGATTGTGCGCTGTGCTCGTGAGAATCCCGTACGCTATTATTCGCAGCGGCGTTGCAGTCACACGGAGAGGCCGGTGCTCAACGAGAACCTGCTGCACTGCAACACACAGCCGTGTCCCGCCTATTGGCGACAGGACGAGTGGGGCGAATGCCGCTGCCAGCACGGCGAAAACTTTCGCCGGCGTGAACTGAGCTGTGTACAGGAACTGGCATCGGGCATTGTTATCCATGTGGATAAGGCCGCCTGCATGGAGGAGCAGCCGCCCAGCGAGAAGCAGTGCGAATGCCCCAAGGCTCGACGTCGCAATTCGGCCCGTTACCGCATGCACCTGCATCCCGATGCGGCCAATGGCACGCATCTGGGTCGCCATCGGGCTCCAAAAACTGTTAGCGATGCGGTCTGGCTGATGTCCGAGTGGAATCAGTATTGTTCATCCTCGTGTGGTCCGGGCGTTCAGTATCGCACTATCTTTTGCGACCGGCCCAAGACCAAAGCGGAGCGTTGCGAACCGCGCGATATTCCCGAAAACCGACGACCCTGCGAGCAAAATGCCTGCGAGCTGGGCGACTGGTTTGCCGGTCCCTGGTCACCATGTAGCGGTGACTGCTTCAACCTGACCCGTAGCCGTGCTGTGCTGTGTATTCGCAATCAGCTGATCACAGATGACGAGGAGTGTAAGCTGGAGCTGAGACCACAGGCCTTGGAGAACTGCTCGCACGAGGAGATTGAGTACTGTGCGCCGCGCTGGCATTATTCTGATTGGTCCGAGGTAAGCTGGCGGATGCATTAAAAATAAATGTCCAGTTACTGAAGTTGATTTCGTGTTGCAGTGCACCAAATCCTGCGAAGGCGGCACCCAACGGCGCACCGTCAAGTGCCTGGAGTACGATGATAAACAGAATGCTCTGCGGGAATCCACCAAATGCAGATACGCACTAAGGGAACCAATCTACCGCAACTGTAATACGCAGAAATGTGAAGGTAGAGCTTTTAAAAGATATTTTATTTTTGATCTTCTATTATTTATTTGATATCCTTGAAGATCTTAATAACGAACTGCTCCAAAACGACGAAGCTCCGGCCTGTCTGGATAATTTTCCCAACTGCAAATGGGCCGTGCAGGCAAAGCTATGCAGCTATGAATATTATCGGATCCATTGCTGCATGTCCTGCACGAAGCTCCATTAAATCTAAGCTTTAATTGTTGCGAAAGAGAGAAAAGAAAAAAAAGAAACGAAAACCGTGATCTTAAAGCAATTGATTCGTGAATGTTCATATATGCATAAATATGTTAGACATAAAGTTGAACATACATATATCTAGCCGCAAATTCTCAGTATGGATTCCAATTTGACATACGAGTGCATTTACATTTATTAATACATACCACATAAGTACATAAATACGTAAAGGAAACCAACAAACAGTTTACTAAACAAATATCTCACAAACGATACAAGTTGAATGAAGTGCCACACTTAAAGATATTATACTATTTTCTTTTAACTCTACGATGTGTTTGGAATTAATTCAAGGCTATTAACATACCCTAAACATGAGAATTCTTTACTTTCAAGTACTCTTCAGATTAGTTTTAATTTTACCAATTTGCGCTAATTTTAATCTATGAGGTATTTGGCAATTTTAAAGATTAAACCAAATGTAGTAATAGTTGAAGTATTGTATATTGTATAATATAGTCCAAGCACGCCTTTCCCGAAAACAATTGTCAAATACTAAATGAACTGGAGACTGTCTTACTGACTTTAACTTCATCCCGTTGTAACCTAAATAACTATGCAGCCTTATTGTAAATACAACGACAAGAGTAAACGTTGCGTTACCTGGTTTAATCAAGTCTGTGCCGACTGTCGCTCGCAGTTCCCGAAAAGCGGAGGTAATCAACGCCTCAAGGAAGGTGGCCAGAAGTCGAAGGTTGGCCTCATTAGCGCCGAGGAGTGCTACAGGTCGATAAAAAGAAGCACCGAGCAACTGGCTACGGACAGTTACGATAAGGATGAAATTTGGTGGAAAGTGCCGCTTATTTTACTAGTTCTAGGCTGTATCCTGGTATTATCAATTGTCACCTGCCTGGTCTGCCAGAAGGTGGTAATGAAGGTACAGGAACGGCTGTCACAGCATGTTGATTTCAATGTTTGCGAACCCAAAAAGAAACGCAACGTTTGCCGGAGAAGAAGGAAGCCACCATCGCCGCGGCCTAATTCGTCCTTTGATGATCGAAAGTTCAGCTCCAAATGCTCCTGCGCGCCAAAATCGATTATCAGTCAACCAGCCTCAAGATGTAATTGAAAAATTCCAATTGATGGTGGAAGGAATCTCAGTTTACATATTCATTTATAATATGTCTATAAACAAAATGGTATATTTTGATATGTAAGTATTCAATTAAAACTGAAATGGATTTCTGATGTTTTATTTTAGTTTAGTTGGGCAAACGTGAACTTGTCACGCGACCAAATCAAAGTGCCAAGTTGTTCCGACTTTTAGATATCACTTAACCCGATAATAATAAATATAATAAAATAATTTTAATAAATAAAAATTTCGAATCTTAAGCTGATCTGTGGCTTTGATACTCTATTAAAGGCAAGATTCAAAGATTTTAGATTTCCAAGATGTTTTAATTAATTATGCTGACTATATAAACAACATACTCTATTCGAAAACTTTTAGAGTTAGGCTTTAAAATGGGAATTAATTTCCATTATTTCACTTTGATATTGGCGTGCGCGGAAAACACTTCGGAGAAATAATCTTATAATGGCATTAAGTTTTATACGTCTGTACTTAAATACGTGTTGTATTCATGGTTTTCGTTATTTAGTGAAGAGCATGTTACTTTTGTTGGAGAGGTAAATTAGACGTAAGTAGAGTTACAGAACGATTAATCAGTTGTCAAGCATTTCAGATTATTGTGGTTTATTCTTTTGATCGCATCCATTTATTTCTGCATAATATCCTGCATATCCTCCGTACAACGCTTTCACACAAAAAGTACGCATATCGGTCTGGAGCGGAACTCTTATTATTTTAATACATCGATGCCGGGCCTAACAATGTAATTAAGCTTATATTTTATTTTAGCTCATAATTAAACTCTAATCGAACATATTTTAGATGTCCTATGCAGCGTTTAAATGATACCCTCTTCGACAACTTCTGTCGGTAAGATTTCATTAATTATCTACTTATTTAAGCTTTTTAAGACATTTTTGTTAATTATATTCCAGTGTGAATAAGTTAAGAGGACGTGAGAAGACGGAGCTTTGGGACTTTCTAGAAAATTTAGCCAATTCTACGTACACCAATTTTCAAAATATACCAGAATATGATAGTATTGATGGTACACTAGATTCGCTGGGCATCAGACCCAAACATTATATGGAATTCATTTACAATCTGACATATGATGCCACTTACGAGCCAATTGAGGTGAACCGTATTCGCTGCACTGATGGCGAGCTACACCTGAGGGTAAGGCAGATCCTCACTGAGTTCGGGCTGTGTTACCTGTGCAGCTCGTATCTGGGCGAGGAGTACAGCTCACGTTTTCTAATCTTCGGCGAGTATCCGGAATTTAATAAGTATCTAAACTTGCACCGGTTTGTTGATGTTAAGAAGGGAGTCTTTTATGACACGAGTGTGGGATTTACGCTGATGGGCATCGAGGGTGAGGCTATAGATGTGCGTATCTAAAATAATCTGAAACTGTAGCAAGCGCATTGTTAATTGTATAATTTCATTCAGAGCTATATACACTCGGCCTTTGAAGTTATGAAGGTGGATAATAATTTTGGTTACTCAGCTGAGGGATCTTCATATAATCCGGAAATCGAGGAAATAGTTGCCGAATCAGGCTTGGAGACGTTAGTTAATTAGTTTTCACCCATATTAACATATAAACAATATTTTTATGTCCTAGTGAAACGTCTATAAGCCAAAGGAAATGCCGTTTCTATCATGAATCAAATCTAACGCATTATCCATTTTATACCAGAAATATTTGCCAGCAAGAGTGCCGCATTAACTTGGCCTATAAGATATGTAAATGTATTCCCCACTTTTATCCGAATCGAAGTAAGTAAATTATAATCGTTTATTTATTCTTTCTGCCCGGTAATTCCGTTTCAAAATTTCTTTAGTTGCAAATCCGAAGCCTGTATGCTCTTACAAAACGTTAAAGTCCTGTTTTCCCAGGCATGCCAGTCAGTATAGCAATCAGCTAGTTAAAAACTATTTTTATATATTACATATATCATTAATCTTTTTTAAGGTTTTTTTCTTAAATTTTACGAGAAGGACGGCAATCATGAGAAACCACCCGAATGTTTTTGTGAACAAAACTGTATAGACGCTGTGATCAAACAAACCACTGCTATTGTACATAAATATATATATATTTAAAAAAGTCAATTTTAATTATAGACATATTTAATTTTCAGCCCATGCGGGGCGCCAGACATTTACTTGGCAGCATGGGAAGTTCCATTTCGATCCTCAGCTGGCCAAGGAATCAATTCAAGAGGCAAGTCATATTCTCCTTTACGGATCTTCTGGGTAAGTCGCACACCTGCTTATTAAATATAAATATAGTACTTATTTCTAATTATGTTTTCAGTTTCAATAGGCGGAACTGCCGGCCTTTATCTGGGCTTTAGCGTACTGGGCTTAGTTGAATTTGTATATTTTTTTACACTGCGCTTGCTTTGGCATTTATTTGGATATGAAATTTAAAATTTATTTTTGCCTGATAAAAAATTTTAAATAATAAACATACTTAATAGAAATTATCTGCAGACAAAACCAATGAACGTATGTACATATATATTATAGACGAACTGTATACGTTTGTATGTATTAGTGTTGTAAATATCAAGTACCGTTGCTATCAGCTAAAGTACAATACAATTTAAATAACCCCACATCGTATAATTTAGTACATATACAAACTTAAGTGTTCCACTTAAGAACTATAGGTTGCCCGCGCATTTGAGTACTAATTTTAAGTTCATCCGAATTTAATAACCATGCTGAATAGTGGAAATTGTAGCCAAGAACAGTTACGTGCGAAATATTGAACATTTTCTCAATTTCTTTGCCAATTTATGTGACATTTTACGGAGGAGAGAAGAGATGAATTGAATTGATAACTCGAAGACCGGCACAGCCATATATGTACATATACATATACATATACATATACATAAGCGACATATCCACATATGCACTTATACATACGAGAGCACAACACAAACATGCACATCCACACGTAAGTATGCATGTACTGTTGCTCTGCGAAGGTGCCTGATTTGAAAAAAAACATTGATTCCCGTGACATCACAAACGATGACCATTCAAATGACAAGTTTAAAAATGTTCCAGGAAACTTCCTTCGCTTCATTCAACACCGTCAAGGGTTTTACAACACTTTCAAGCCGGCAGCAAATATAGGAATTGCAGAGTTTACACTTTGCCTGTAGCAGTGAGAGTTATGTGACGTAATTAGCTGCTCGCTCTTCAGCGGGAATAAGTCACCTGCGCAAGGCATTACAAATTTCTCATTGTGCACTCTCTTAGGTTCTGAGCTTAAGCTGCCAACCAGAGCCGCTCAGTTTGCTTCATATCGTTCACGCGTCCGGTTGGTGCCGCAAACTTGCTGGCAAAAATACTGAAGTGCCACTTCAACTAAGTACATTATAATTGTATATATGTTCCTTATCGCAGTACATACATACATACATACGCACATTGGGCTGGACTATAAAAGCAAGAACTTCGATTGAAAAGCACTTAGTTGGCGATAACTACTTCAACTAATTTGCAATGTTTGACAAAGTCGGCGTCGGGCTTGCAATATTATATATATTCAGCAATGCTGTGCATTATGTGGAGCCCAGAAATATTAGAACTGTGCCAAAATCTGATGATGGTGCCAAGTGTGGTTACTCGGTAAGTTTCTCTTCATTCAAAGGCATGGAAAGTACATACATATGCAGTTTCATAGGCATTACAAATACAAATATATTACACACATATGTGTATGTAAGTGTGTTTGCATGTAAATCAGATGATTTATTAATTTTTTCTTATCAGCTGTTCATGGTTGAGAAAGTATTGCAAACAATGTCAGACAATTTTGTTTTTTTTTTCGCTTGCATTTATGCATTTTGCGCGTTCTTCATTTTTATGATATTTCGCTTAACATATGTTCTGGCAATGTCCAATGAAACTGGAAAAGAACCGTTATAGATTCCGTTAGATTTGGTCTATTACGAACAATGTGAAGCAGAAGGCGAAATTTCGTTTGATTCAGCACTTACAAATTTAATCAACGAACCCGTATACAATTTAATTTGAAGCTGCTTTTTAATGAATTTTTAATTTTTTCTTCTATTTTCAGAGCTGTCACCCAACGAAACCAAATATGCTAAATGTGCATCTAATAGCACACACCCACGATGACGTTGGATGGCTAAAGACTGTAGACCAATACTACTATGGGAGTGAAACACGAATTCAAAAGGCTGGTGTACAGTATATAATTGATTCCGTTGTGGAATCCCTGCTGAGAGATCCAGAGAAACGCTTTATATACGTGGAGTCAGCATTTTTCTTCAAATGGTGGAAGGAACAGACGACTGAGATGCAGGAGCAGGTAACAATGCTGGTAAATGAAGGCAGGCTGGAGTTTATAGGCGGAGCTTGGAGCATGAATGATGAGGCAACAACTCACTATCAGAGCGTAATTGATCAATTCGCATGGGGATTAAAGTATGTATGGACTGGTTTAAACTGTAAATCTTTTATAATAAAAAAAAATATTGTAGGCAATTAAATGATACGTTTGGCGAATGCGGTCGTCCACGTGTCGGCTGGCAAATTGATCCATTTGGACATTCCCGAGAGATGGCTTCCATGTTTGCCCAAATGGGATTTGATGGTATGTTCTTTGGTCGCCTAGACTATCAGGATAAGGATGAGCGTCTGATGACCCAGAAGGCCGAAATGATATGGCATGGTTCCGCGAATTTGGGTAGGCTAATAGAGCAAATTAAATTGGATTTCTTTATGATTATTTTATAAAATCTTTAGGCGATAAATCGGATCTCTTCAGTGGCGCTTTGTACAACAATTATCAAGCACCGGATGGCTTTTGTTTTGACATCCTCTGCTCAGATCAGCCAATTATCGATGGCAAACATAGCCCAGATAATAATGTGAAGGAACGCGTAAGTTTGAGGATTTGGTTTCGATTACCGTACTTATTGTCTCTCTATATCCTTTCATGTGAAATTTGTCCTTGTGGCGTCTTATCATTTCCTCATCCAATATTCATCAGGTTAATACGTTTTTGGATTACGTCAAAATCCAAAGTATTTATTATCGCACCAACAATATAATTATAACCATGGGTGGCGATTTCACTTATCAAGCTGCCCAAGTTTATTACAAGAATCTCGACAAATTGATACGGTAAAATTATATATAAATGTATATGTGTTTCTTTTGGCATACTTGTGTTAACGAAAGCCCCTCATTGTGTTTGGTCCATTAGTTGTTCTTTAATTCATATAAGTAATTAGAGTACGTGTTTTTTGTGTATAGATCGATGCGTTCTTTGAGTTTGTTAATAAGATGGCTACAGGTTATCGAACTCCCAACTTACTTATAACAATGGGTGAGGATTTCCATTACCAGAATGCTGATATGTGGTATAAAAATCTGGATAAACTAATTAAGTGAGTACTTAGTGAGGGGCTTTCTTTAACTATGCAAGTTAATTTATCCAACAGGGTTTTTATTTGGAGATCAAAATACTATCTGTTCCCATATTATCCAACTATAGGTACGCAAACGAGCGTCAGGCAAATGGCTCGAATATAAACCTCCTCTACTCCACACCCTCGTGCTACTTGAAGTCGCTACATGATGCTGGCATCTCATGGCCCACCAAGACTGACGATTTCTTTCCCTATGCATCCGATCCACATGCCTACTGGACGGGCTACTTCACCTCGCGGCCCACCTTGAAGCGTTTCGAGCGTGACGGCAATCATTTCCTGCAGGTTTGCAAGCAACTGAGCGCGTTGGCTCCAAAGCGATCGGCGGAATTTGATCCTCACTTGACCTTCTTGCGAGAGACCATGGGCATAATGCAACACCACGATGCCGTGACAGGCACGGAAAAGGAAAAGGTCGCTCTCGACTATGCGAAGCGTATGAGTGTCGCCCTGCGCGCCTGCTCGACAAACATACGAAATGTGTTGAACCAATTATCAACCGGACCCGAATCCGAACCAACTTCCCAACGTCCATTTGAATTTAAAACATGTACCTTACTAAACATAAGCAGTTGTGCCACATCCGAGGCAAACACACCATTTGCACTGACCCTCTACAATCCGCTGGCTCATACTACCAAAGAGTATGTGAGAGTACCCGTTGCAGATTACAAATATATTGTCCTTGATCCGACAGGTAAGTAATAAGGATCTTTTAAGAATATAGTTATTTAAAATTATACATTTTTAGGCAAAAGCGTGACCACCCAATTGGTACCTGTGCCCAAACCTGTGGCCGCAATCAAGCACAGAAATTCTATTGCCGAGTACGAGCTAGTTTTCTTGGCCTCCAATCTGCCAGCAATGGGCTATAAGACCTATTATATTTACAGAGACGAAAGCAGTCGAGTTAATATAAAGCCTCACGCTTTGCCAAAACAAGAATCTAGCTACACTGTTATTGAAAACGACGTAATTAAAATTTGCATTAAAGTTTCTGCATCAATAATACCTTAACTTCTTTATAGAATATCAAACTTACATTCGATACCAATGGATTCCTCTCCGAAGTCACAGCTGATGGGTTGACGCGTATGATTTCCCAGGAATTTTTGTATTATGAAGGAGCTACTGGAAACAATGCGGAGTTCCTAAATCGTTCTTCAGGCGCTTATATATTCCGACCGAAAGACAACAACATACGATTTGCCACAGATCATGTCACAATAGAGGTATACAAGGGCTCACTTGTGGAAGAGGTGCATCAGAAATTTAACGATTGGATAAGCCAAGTGGTGCGAGTCTATAAACAGAGCACTTACGCGGAATTCGAGTGGTTGGTGGGTCCCATTCCGATTGATGATGAAATTGGCAAGGAAGTGATAACGCGGTTCAAGTCAGACATTAAGTCTGAAGGCGTATTCTTCACCGACTCTAATGGTGAGCTATAGTCTAAATATGTCAAACACTTATTTACAAATTAATATATGCCTCACGTTTTTCGTCAGGTCGCGAAATGTTAAAACGTCAGCGCAATCATCGTGAAACCTGGAATGTAAATCTAGCGGAAACTGTTGCAGGAAACTATTACCCGATCACCACGAAAATCGCGTTGGAGGATACAACAGCTCGAATGGCTATACTTACAGACAGAGCTCAGGGTGGTAGCTCATTAGAGGACGGTGCCTTAGAATTAATGGTACATCGACGTTTATTGAAGGATGATGCATTTGGTGTGGGTGAAGCCCTCAACGAAACCGAATTCGGCGAGGGACTGATTGCACGGGGTAAAACTCATTTGTTTGTGGGCCAATCCTATCTACGCGCCGATGTCTCTCTAAAGGCAATCGAACGACTTGTGCAGCTGGAGACATTGCTGCCGTCATGGAAGTTTTTCAGCAATATGGAATCGTATACATCCGACCAATGGCTAAGCTCATTTACAAATACGGTGAGTACACCTATTATCCATCATAATAAGCGTATCAGTATCATTATCGTTAT